GCACTGCTCAGGGCTGCAGAGATGGCTCAGTGGTTAAGAATGCGCACTGCTCAGGGCTGCAGAGATGGCTCAGTGGTTAAGAATGCGCACTGCTCTCCCAGAGGATGGGATTCAGTTCCCAGCATCCACACTGGACAGCTCACAACCACCTGTAACTCCAGCTCTTTGGATCCAATGTCCTCTGGACTCCAAGGGCACCCGTAAACACATGATGCACATAAACTCACGTAAGCACACACTCGCACATGAATAAAAATAAATCAAAAATAAAATAAAACAAAAACAGTTGCTATCAGGGTCTCCTGGGCAGGCGAGGTCCCAGAGACAGGCTGCCTAACATTCTCTAGTGCAGAAGAGAAGGGCATTCATTAAACAGATGAGCATGCTCATAACTCAAGCAGAGTGTGTCATCACTGGAAGGTTATGGAGGCCACACAGTTCAGGTGGCATACACCGCAAACAGGGCACTCCAGCTCCATGGGTAACTGCTAACCTATGGCCCTCTGGGGTTTTTAAAACAGCAAAGACAACCTGAAGCTCTTCAGTGCTACTTGCACACCCAGGTAGGAAGGAACGGTACTAGCTCACGCCCTCATCCTACAAATGAGGGCAGGGAGCCCGGTCTATTCTCACCACAGCAGCACAGAACTATGAAACCAGGCAGATCTGCCCTGCACAAGTCACCCCAGGCCTTCTCAGTGCACGGCCTGTTTCCTCAGTCTTCAAGTGGGGGGCTACAGGATCTACCACAGAGCTCAGAGGAAATGAAGCCCTGTGTGCAAAATGATAGTCCCTGCTTTCCCCGTCTCTTCTATGGAATTACCATCGCTGTGCATGTGTGCTGAAATAGTAATTACGATGTCTAACCCAACGTTTCCCTTTCCTGTGGTTGGTGACTTCCCTAAGACCAAGTCTCAGACTGCAGCTGCAGCCCTGGACTGATTCATTCCAGGGTCACATCAGCACCCCCAGATGTCTGATGTGCTGAATGTGTCCTTACTGAAAGAACAGGAGGGAAGACCTGATGAGAAGCTTCTCCATCCAGGGTGGTTACAGAGGTACTTAGAGCAGGGCCAATGCCTCCTACAGCCATGGTGTCTTCACGTCGACATTCTCTACCACACAATGGCTAAAACTGATCCGTCGCTTGCCAAATCTTTACTGCTATTTTCTAAGGACACAGTATGCCTATCTTCTGAATCAATCTCTCTCTCTCTCTCTCTCTCTCTCTCTCTCTCTCTCTCTCTCTCTCTCTCTCTCTCTCTCTGAATGTGGGTGTGTGCACACCACAGTGCATGCATGGATGTCAAAGGACAGCCTTGGTTGTCATCCCTTGCCCTCTACTGACTGGGCTTTCTTGTTTTGTTTCTTCAGATGAACATGGCAGGCTCTCTGGCCACTGAGCCTCTGGAGAGTCTCCTGTCCCTGCCCCAGCTCCCTGCAGGAGTGCTATGATTACAGACACTTGTAAGGGCATCAGGCTGTCACAGAGGTTCTTGGGATTCGAGCTCAGGTCCTCACACTTGCACATTTACTCCCGAGGCATCTCCTGAAGCCCTCCCTATTTGTCGAATTTTTGCAGAAACAATTGCCAAAAAGTTTAGTGATCTGTTTTAGCACACGATCAACACACTCTCAGATCAAATGTGTTTAATTCTCGGTACCGAGCTCAAGCTGGTTGCTAAATGCTTCTTTCTGGTGTTTAGAGTTGCTGTTGTTGTTACTGTTGTTTTTATCTAGCTCAAGAGTAGGGGGGGGCAGTGGGGGAACTGGAGACGGTATCAAAGTGGGACGTGAGATGCGTGTGTCCAAATGTCCTCGCTGCTCCTGTGACATTAGGCTGCTCTCCCTTCCCAGGTCCCTCTACTTCACGCAGGGGATGGTTATTGCAAAGACCAAACTGACTGAGCTGACACCACTGTTTACCTGGCCTTGCATTTCCTTATCTCACACCCATCTTCAGCTCCTACGATGCTCAGAGTAGGGTGGGGACGGAAAGGCATCAGAGTCGTGGCCTTCAGTAAACAAACTCCCCAGTAACGAACAAGAACTGCACACACATCTTCCTCATGGTGTTAAGAGCCCCCAGACTAAGCATTACAGGCAAGCAGGGGAAGGAGGGAATATCCAGGCAAAGGCTGAGACAGGCAAAGGTCGGGGAGGAGAGTGAACTTCTGGGTTCTGTCTCTGCCTTCCAGCCTGCTGGGAGGACAGGTGTGCGCCACTACACCTAGAATCTACGCAGTGGGGAGATACCCAGGGCTTCATGCAGGCACTCTACCAACCGAGTACACCCCAGCCCTAAGATACATGAGAGGAAGCAGAGACTGAAAACACAGCACAAGGAAGACACGCAGATAAGACAAGTGCTTGGGATCTTCCCAAATCCCCCAAGTTCTCACTCGCAAACCTGGGGAAACCATCTGCCTCCAGGCTTCATTAAAATCTGTGGCCATGGGGCTGGAGAGATGGCTCAGCGGTTAAGAGCACTGGCTACTCTTCCAGAGGTCCTGAGTTCAATTCCTAGCAACCACATGGTGGCTCATGACCATCTATAATGAGACCTGATGCCCTCTTCTGGCCTGCAGGCATACGTGCAGGCAGAACACTGTGTGCATAATAATAAATAAACAAATCTTAAAAAAAAAATCTGTGGCCATACTGTATGACCAATCTGTGAGGGATATGAACAAGGATGGCACCAAAAGACCCATGGGTGAGTTGACTTACAAAGTTCAGTGTGACTGATGTTCCTTTGGTGCTGTGCCTTTCGAAACTACAGAAGGTATCCTAAGCCATACAGCCAAGGACAAGCAAGTGGGGATTCAGATCTGGGTTAGAGGGGCCAGTGTGGTTCTCAGCAGGCATCATGTGGCCAGGGGACAGTTGCTCTCAAGCCTTAGCTTTGCATTCAGCGGGAGGTGTGCAGATAGATTGTCACACGGGTAATGGTTACCTGGCTGGCAAGTATCTTTCCTGGCTCTTTGCCCCCTAGCGACAGTATTCTCCAAGGCAAGGTGTGGGTCTGGCTGGCCACCGAGTTGCTTACCCTCTGAGGGCGAATTGAATTTGGTCTCATTTACAAAGTTAGACAGGTCCGAGGGCTGTGGGAAGTCCTGTTTGTCGGCATCCAAGTCCACTGTCATACATGTCCACTTCTGGCTGGTGACGGCCAGCTTCTCCTCATCTGTGGCATGGACCACTGCAGAGATGGCTGGGGGTGCTTCCGGCGTGGCAGCTGGAGTGGAGTCCTGTGAGGAGAGGAGACAGCCTCTTCTTTCACCCAGTCTCAGAATCCGCGCCCCTCAAACCAAGGAAACCCCTCCATCTGCTCCCCTGGGGCTCTGATCCACAGTGCTCCTGGAGGAAACTTTCCTCTAGTGATCTCTTTTACTGATGGTTGATTTCAGGGAGCGACCATGGGTTTATCAAAATTAATTAGTTAATTTAAAAAAAAAAAACCAACAACCCTGAACATAGTAACTCCTGCCCGTAATCCTAGCATCTGAGAGGCTGAGGCAGGGGAACTGCTGGGAGTGTGAGGTTAGACTGGGCTATGGACCCTTTCTCCAAGGACTGGGGATGTGGCTCCATGGCCTGGTGCTCGCCTTGCATGTGCACAGTCCTAGGTTCAATACCCAGCACTGAAAACAACAACAAAAAGCCTCAGTATGGTGGTTCACCCCTGAGATCCCAACACTCAAGGGACTGAGGCTAGCCTGGGCTATGCAGTAAGTACCAGGCCAACATGAGCTAGTGTGAGACCCTGTCTCAAAACAAAACAATAACTAAGTCTCTGTCTTGGTTATCTGGGTGATTCCAGCTTCTTTTACAGTCATATCATCAGCACTGTCTAAGAGTCCTCACACAAGTCCTGATGAAGAGAAGGGGTTTTAGTGAGAGCCCAGGGGAGAGCTACAGCTGGACCTCAAGTCTCCTATCCCTGGAGCTAAGGTCCTGGTATGTTCTTTCCCTGCCCAACAGTCAGCAATTGAAGCTGGGTTTGATCTGAAGATCACCTTGTCTTATAACCCAGAATGGTAGCAAGCCTGCCTGAGGATTACCTTCCTTGGTCTATGAGGAGGGTGGAAGACATGAGATTGTTAGAAACACCACCAAGAGGGAAAGAGACTCATAATGAACTCAAGGCCCTGCTTCTTTTTCCTAAAGATTTATTTTATGTGTATAAGTGTTTTTGCCTGTGTGTATGTATGTGCATCATGTGTGTGCAGTACCCACAGAAGCCAGAAGAGGGTGTTAGAACCCTTGTACTGACAATTGTCAACCACCATGTGGGTGCTGGGAACTGAACTTTGATCCTCAGCGAGAGAGCAGTGAGTACTTTTAATCACTAAACTTTCTCTCTAGCCCCAAGCTTCTTGAGGGTAAGTGTCCCTCCTCTTCCCACTCTAACTCTGATGGCATAATTTGTTATTCCTGATAGTCAAGTTTCCTGCACATTTTCTCACTCTGTGTCCATTGATTTCAAAAGACCCTCTCAACTTGATGCAAGTTCTCAGCAGATTAAATGGCCAGAAGAGACTAGAAGAATTCCCACTATAAAATCTTGCCCTTATTCTCAACTAATTCCTCATAGCACACACCTTGATCTCCACCAAACTGAGGGGGAGGTCAAAACACTCCACACCATAAAGAGAAAAAAGGAAAACTCTGCTATGCCTGTTTTTTGGTGTGCATGTATGCATGTGTGCACAGTGTATGTGCACGTGTGCAGGAGTGTGTATATGCATGTGTGTGTTACACAAGTGCATGAATGGTGTGTGTGTGTGTGTGTGTGTGTGTTAACTCCCCGATTAGCAATGTAATATGCTCAAGGGATCAAGGAAGTGCTGTACCTGAGAAGGTGGATCAGACAGAGGAGACCTCTTTGGTGACTTCTTCACCCTAAATGTGTCACTGTAAATAAAATGGGAAAGGTAAACAACACAGGGTCACAGGTCATTCCCAAGCACCCGGCAACCGCCCAGCCTCCCACCTACCCAACAGCTCATTCTGACTTTGTAACTGATGTTATTTTTGCCCCCAAGGGGAAGATCCATCAAGCTGGAAACCTTTACCGAGAAGCCATTTTGGAGAGCCGACCCAGAAAGATGCAGCTAAATTTAACAAACCGTTCTTACTGTTATACAGCAAACCTGCGGCGAGGAGACTGATTTCTGAGCCAGCTAAGGTTGGGGGAGGGGCCGCAGGCTCATGACACTAATTAACAGGATCCAGTTTTCACATGGGCAAGGAGACGCAGCTCTTAATGAATAGCCAGAGGAGCCTGCGCAGACACAGAAAAGTTCTGGATCCTGTGGGGACCCGGGGGGCCCTTTGCACTCCCAGGAACACAGAGCGCAATGGGTTCTTCTGCTCTGAGAGACTCTGGGTGGGATTCTGACTAAAGGCAGAGCCCAGGAAGATGGTGTCTTAGGCCTCTCCGTGGCTGTGCACAGTTAATGGACACGATTCCATACTCTTTTCTCCCTTTCTTTTTCCTTCATACAAGGTAACGGAGGTGGGGCAGACTGACCCCAGGAGAAAGGGAATGGTTTTGGCATAAGCAGTACTATTCAGTCCATGAGCCACCATGCTCTGGGGGTCATTTCTATAATCAAAAATGAACACCCTCAACCTACAGCTGGCCCTTTTCTCCTGGTTCCAGCATTCCCCAGTATGGTTTTAGGACCAGGCAAGGCTAGAGCTCAGGTACGGAGGAGGCAGGGTCCCTCAATTAAAGTCTCATCACTCTCCTCCGTTTCCCATGTTAACTAAGTAAGTAGAGAAATCCGATACCCAAGTTCCTTCCTTGTGTACTCTCAAATAAAACACTCCAACAATGGCATTTGAATATAAGAAAATGCTGTAAATGGTTATTTACAGCATTTATGGTATTTGCCATAAAACAGTCCAGTCCCAACATAAGGTATATATTTATTCATGCGTATAAATATATAACTTTCATAGGTGCTAGATGACTTGAAAATACTAAAAGGCGGCTGCTGGGGTAGGACAGAATTGGGAGACTCCATGCTATCCTGGAGGCTGCCAGAAGCCTGGGTCCAGGTCAGCTTCCCCTGTAAGGGAAGGTTGAAAGGAACATAGATTGAGAGCCCTGAGCTCTGCCCTGGCTAGGGTATGCTGTTCTAGAGGCACACAGGTGGCCAGTTGCATTGGTGCCTGGTGGGGCTACCCATAGATGAGACATGTTAATATCCAGCCTAGACATAAGTAGCCAAGAACATGACCCAAGGCATGCTGGCAATGGTTCTCAGCCATGGGTTCCATGCTGAGAGGATCCCACATCCCCTCAGATTTCTGCAAGCATGAATTTGGAAGAGCCCAAATGGTAATGCCTCATAATGTAACAAGAAACAGCCACGGCAGTCTCTGCCCCAGGCTTCCTGCAGTGCTTCATACGAAAGCATCCTGCTACTGAAAGCAATCACCCGCCAGCCCAACTTACAACAAAAGGATGGAATGAGGAGTTAAAAACCCATAGATGGATTTCAGATGAAGATACGCACCCCACCCCCACAAAGAAAAAAAACAAAAACACCAAGCAGGGGAGGGTTCCACTGCGGACAGGCAGGCAGCTGCTGGCTAATCAATCATGTTTGCACAGCCCAGCAGCTCATGCTAATCGGGGTGAAACAGAAAAGTAACCTTGACGGCAGGGGAGCCCCGACCCATCATCATTCCCAAGCTCTACACAGGAACGCAGCGGCCACCACAGAGACGAAAGGAGAGGGGTAGCAAGCGGAAGCAAGGCGGAAGCCCCACACGAGAGGGGCAAGAGGCAGATTGCATGAAATTTACTTACAACAGAGAACACACAGACATCACATCTTCAACCATCCTAAGACAAGAAGACAAAGAAGAGAGACAGACAGAAGGAACTGACACAAAGATAAATCTGCAGACACCGGGCACTTAGTGGCTTAGGATGTGGCAGCCATCCATAGCGGATTCTGCTCCAGGGTACACAGTCCAGCCTTCTGGGGAGGGGCTATGGGCACACAGCTTCCTCTCTGGGTTCTGACCACCTGGAGGGTTGGTACCTAAGAGCTCTGCCTCCGCACAATAGTCTCCCAAACCAGCAGACCTGCGTGGACTAAGGGTGACGCCAGGACACAGGGGCAGCTTCCCCAACCTTCTTAGCCCTGATGAGCAAAGGGGAAAGAAAACGACTGGGGGAAATACTATTTGGGGTCAGAAGAAGGGGGCGGCTGCCAAATGACTCTCTTTCTAAAGGTGAGAAGTTATGGCTTTGAAGTGTAAGCATTTCTGGGTATTATTCCACTTTTCTGTTTGTTTGTTTTTTGAGACAGGATTTCTCTGTTGTAGACCAGGCTGGCCTCAAACTTAGAGATCTGCCTGCCTCTGCCTCCCAAGTGCTGGGATTAAAGTTATTATTCCACTTTCAAATTCTATGTGGATTTGGGTAAGTGGGAGTTGGGGGAAGGGAACCCATGATCAGAATATGCTGTATGAAAAAGAATCTATATGAAAGTTAAAATTATTTTTAAAAAAGATAAGGTTCTAATATGGATCTTATAGAATCTCTAAGAAGGGCCTGGTTGGGGAACAGAACTAAAAAAAAGTCCGTGTTTGGAGCCGGAATGGCCTTCAGCTACTGTAAGATGGTGACAGAGCAACCCACAAAGCAGAACCTGAGTTATTCTCAGATTCCTGATGCAGATGGGTCACCCTGTGTTATTCCAGCCAGACCCAGAGAGGCCAACACTGGGGCTTGTTCCACGGCCCTGGGATGGGAGGCTGAGTGTTCTCCACCTGATTAAATTACAGTGATGCTTCCCAAGAGAGCCAGGACGTCTGTAGCAACCAGGCACATGGTCGTCAGGTTACAGGTCCTGAGGAATGGACCTCTAGCCGACAAGGTTGGGCTTCTCAGGATGAGTGCCAAGGGCACCAACACCAAGCAGCCAGGGGGAACCATGGCACGTGTGGGTGGACAAAAGCCACTCTTCTTAGGGACTGGAGGGTTCGCTTCCCCCGTCCAGGTCTCACCAATCTCCTCAGGTCTTTCGGGGACTTTCAAGTCTTATTTGAAAAAGATGACTGGAGAGTGGGTAGGCAAGAAAGAGCCTGTCTCTTGCACGCTCGTCAGAGGGCATGCAGCAGCTCTCTCCATCTGGGGCCTCCTGTAGCCTGCTACCCTTTGTGGCCCCTGAGTTAAAGTCATATTAGCAGGTAGGAACAAATGCTGTACACGTAACAGTATTTTGCAGGGTGTGTGTCTCAGCTAATCCAAAGGCAATGCATATGCTAACCAGGGAAGAGTTCAGCCACCAACAGGAAGGCCGCCAGGTCTGCTCCTTTTCTACAGGACTTCCCATCGTCCCCTGGAGTTGAGAGGTCATCAATGGCTAAACATAAAACGTCAAGCCACCGATTAGTTAAAAGATCAAGGACTGTGGGTTCGGGGATGGGGGGATGATGGCACGGAGGCTGCAGAAAGAAAGGAAACGTGTGTCCTGCCTGCTTGGAGAAACAGCCACAAAAAAAACAGTGTCATGACAGCCACGGGTTGGGGGTGGGGGGTGGGGTGGGCAGGACGAGGGCAGCCGGGGACTCCCCAGGCACAGGCAGGACCAGAACCCACAGCAACGCACACCCGCTCTCAATCCTCACCACCTCCCTCCTTGAACTTACGTCTTCAGGGGGGTCTTCTTCTTCTTAGCGGGCTTATTCAGCCCGTCCCCGTCCACTTCGACGGTGCTGGCTGGGATCTCAAAAGAGGCTGGGGATTTGGAAGGTGAGCTGGGGGTCTTAGAGGATGTCTTAAAGGGGCCAAGGGACTCTTCACAGGCATCGGGGTCAAAGTTGTACGACTGTTGGGGCAGTTTGGGAGACTCTTGCATTTTTGAGGTGGAGGAAAAAGGGTTAAAATTGGGGTCGTCCCACTTGTCTATATCAAAGGTGTAGGTACCTTTAGCAATGGGGATGTCATTGGGTTCGGTAGGGGACCTTGGAGGTGAGGCAGGGGCGTTGTCGAGTTTCTCGGGTGTCTTTTTCATCTTTGGCCTCCTTAGGGGCATTTTGGCAACTGGCTTCTTGCCTATCTTTTTGGTGGGAGGGGCGTTTTCCTGCTGGCTGTCCCAGTTTCCCTTGTCCTCAGAATAGTCAAACTCCAGCCTCACGGAGAGCCCTTTGGCAGGCAAGTCCTCCTGCCCCCCACTCTCCGATAGGGTCACCTCCACTGCCTCAGGGGCTGTGGTAAGAGGCACTGATTTCCTCCCCACAGGGGGTGAGTTCTGCACTGGGCCACCTCCAGAAACCAGAGGGCTGACGTCTTCGGCACTCTCCAAAGTCAAAGGGCAGGAGGCTGTGGGCACGGCGGCGGCGGGGGCGGGCTCCAGGGGCGGCGTCTCCTCTGACAAGGTGCCCCCAGTGCCCTCGGGTGTGACCGACTCCGTCTTTGTCTCGGGGGCAAGGTGCTCCTCGGTGGGGACTGGACTCTCTTCGTCCGGCTCCTGCTGGGTCTCCTTCACTGGAGGGGTCTCTGTGGGTTTCTTGGCGGCCTGTTTCTTTTTCAAGGAAGGCGGCCGTGATTTTTTAGTTCGCTTAAGGGTGCTGGAAGCACTGTTAGATCCTGTGCCACACGCATCTGCGGCCAGGGTCCCCGCTTCGGGGCTGCCGGGGCAGGAAGCACCGTCAAAGTCGCTGGCTTGCAGGCTGAGCGAGCGGGACAGCGTGGACTTGGAAGGGGGCACGGACTCGGTGGATTTCCTCCGCGCGCTCACCTTACACTCCTGGCCCTTCGAGTCGGCAGAGCACGGCTCCAGGCTCTGGAAGTTATCCACCAGCTCGATGCTGTCAAAGTCCAGGTTGTACGCCCCACTGCTGGCTATGGGCTTATCTTCGTCGAACACCGCCGAGGAGGAGTGTGAGGGGCGGAACGGGCTCCCTTCCACGGAGTCGCTGCGAGGGCCATCGGGAACCACGACCGGCTCAGCACTGCATCCTGAGGGAAAGGAGACAGAGCTGTCACCTGAAGACATGGGGCACTTAAGAACGCTTCTCGTTCTGTGCCACAGCAGAGGTGGATAAACCCCAAAGACGGGGGCACCCCCCCCGGGGGCCCCCCCCCCCCCGTCCGTATGGGCAACAAATCCTGGTTTCATAGCCTCACTGGCTCCAGACCCTGGGCCGGTTTCCCTCAGTGCCCTCATCTGTAATAACGGAGAGCCAGGTAGCTGATCAAGGGAAAGCCCCATGGTTCATTCATTCCAAAGCAGTTTATTAAGTGCTTGACCTTGACCAGGGGTCATGTTGAGAATCTGAGCAACAATCAGGAAAGAGATAAAGGCTTGCTGTAGACCATTGTCCTCTTGGCCTGTGGGCCACTGCCATCGTCACCAAGGCATCACCACTACCAAAGCATCCCCTGACTACTTACTTGCAAGGGACTCTCAAAATCAGGCCTGATGCCAAGTCCCTCATGAAGGAGGAGTTGGGGAGGGTCATTAGACCCTCCCCTGAGAGTCCCATCACGCCTTCCTACACATACCCAAGCTGGGCATGGTCTCTTTGTAGAGCGTGGAGTGCCAACCGAAGGGAGGACTCTATCCTTGTAGCTATGGAGAAACTGTCGTCCACGCCGAAGCGACTTTCTGTGGTGTGGCTGTTTTGGGGTTACCCACACTCTGTAAGTAAGGCCAAGCTGGGTTCTAGGGGATTGGTACTTCAGTCTGTCATTCGTGTCCTATCAGGTTTGTTTGTCACCTCAGCCGGAAGTTCACAAAACAAACAGAAAGCACCTTAGACAGTGCAAAGGCCCTGGGGTAGGAGTACCCCTGGGGTGTTCTAAAAATAATGAGGAGGCTGATGTGGATGACGTCAGACAGGAGCAAGGCAGGAAACAAAGAAGGCAAGCAAAACACAGTCAACCTTTGGTATACAAATTAAATACGGTCACAGTCAACCCTGCCCCTGACTGCTCCGACCCTGGGAAGAATGTGCAAGGCTCTGAGTGAGAAGGCCATACAACTGAGCAGGACTGAGCTTGCCCTCCGCCACCTGCCCCTCCGAACATGACCTGGACCCTCTCCCGCCAACCTGCTTGCCTGCCTTACTCTGGCATTGCCTCTTGTCCATTCTCGGCTCTCTCCTCCCAGCTTCTGAGCTCCTCCAACTCTGCCAGGCAATAAGGCTGCTCCTTATCTTCCAACATGCTCAGGGACTCCAAAGGATGCCCAGTGGTCTCACTGCCCCACTGCTCCCGGGAAACCCACCAGCCCTTGCGCGGATTTCTGGGTTCCCAGCTGTTCTGCTAGAAAAAGGAAAACCGTGTACCATGGTCTACGGCAGGCAGACCATGAAACAGAACAGGCTGCACAGGACTGACGGACTGTCAGACTGCACAGGACTGATGGACTGTGCACACAGACAGACATTATGATGCATTAGCCCCTTTCTCCAGGTTCACTTCCAGCTAAAGTCCAGGAAGCTATTACACTTGAGTTTCAGATAAATGGACAGTTTCTAAGAGGATGTGGCACATGAGATTCAAACTCATGTGACACATGGTCTGGGTGTCCTCCATTTTTACTTTCTAAATGGCTGTCTTGTCCTTTGTCCCAATACCCCAGGTGTGGGAGAGGCTCACATTCAAACAAGCCAGTCTGTTTCTGTAGAAGGCACCCCACTTCCTCCCACTCTGAGCTGTGGATGCTCTCTGCCATAGTGGGGGTGGGGTCCTCTCACGGTGCTTCCTAACTTTGCTCACAGGCAAACCCCGCAGCTGGAGGCTGGCTGAGAAAGTGGGAGATAACAGCCCAAGGAAATGCAAGCCTCTCAGGTTCAGAAAGAGGCTTACTTTCCTCCATTTCCAATCTGGAAAACTGTCCCTCAGAAAGCTTAATAAACATCCCTTGGATTATGAGCACCTGGGGGAGCCTCCCTGTCGTCCTTCTAGAAGCCAGTGCTGGCTCCAGGCCTTCCCATCTCTCCCCTAACCCTAACTCCATCTAGGCACACATGTCCTAAGCATTTGCAGCCTCTGGTCCCAGCTCATTGCACCAAATTATTTCCTACCACCACCACACACACTTGCTTCCTTCTTATCTCAGGACCGGTGTCCATCTTTCTTCCCTCTGAGGTCACTTCCCTTCTCTTCTGAGGTCCTCCGGCCTTCAAGCACAGCCCCTTCTGGTCAGCAGCAACCTCAACTTCCTGCCCTGTGGCTGCCCCGGAATACTTGGTTCAGAAGGCAGAGGACCAGAGATGCTGAGGGGACCCAGGTGCTGTCACATGGGCTTGGCAGCAGGGAGGGGGCCTCGGCCATCCCTTCACTTCTGTAGACAGACCCTCCAGTGCCAAGCTTCCTTTTCAGTCTGCTCCATCGCCGCGGCTGCCTTCAAATGTCAGTAGTTTTCCTCGCATCGTGCGGCAGTCAGCAGAGAGTCAGCTTAACATCTGCTTTGTTTCCTGCCTACTTAGCCTGGCTTTCCTATTCAGAAGTACTGTTCCCTAATTGAGTCACAGGCAAAGACACCCAGTTTTGCTGCAGTTTCTTATCTTCAGCCCAAAGGATGCCTGGGGGCAGTCCCTCATCGTGGGGGGCCAGCCTGTTTGGTGTAACGATGCTTTGCTTCATCCTTAGCTTTGACCTACTAGACGCCGGTGGCACCTTCTATCCTAGTTGTGACAATATGTCTCCAGACATTGTCTCCTGTCCCCAGGAGGGCAGCGCTGTCCCTGGTTGGGAGTTGCTACTTTACAGAATGGTTCTCAGAGCAGAACGGCTCTCCCTGTGGTCCATCACAAGGTTGGGATAACTTCCCTACATCATTGCCACGGGCAAGCCCTGACTTGCAAGGTGAGCATGTCCAGTTGGGTTCCCACTAGACTGCTACATAGCCACATAGATCTGCATGAAGACTTCCTTCACCCTAAATCTGGGGTGCCCCCAATGTCGGTCACTATGGGACACACCTTGAATACAGAGGTGAGGAAAGATGGGACCCAAACCAATCCATCTATGTCAACATGCTGCTGCACTCACTGGTGTAAGCCCGGGAAAGATGCCTTTAGAAGTCCACACTGCATCCCTGGTTCTAGCTTCTAGTTCAGTCCTGGGGAGGTCAGCATCTGCAGCTTATGTGAAGAGTCCCCAGAGGCTTCTCAGCTATGATAATCAGCTCAGTTGCCCCCACTCCACTAAAAGACTGGGTGGCTTTAACAACACAGAAGAAATGTGTTTCTCGTTGTCCTGAGTCCTAAAGCCGGAAGTCCACAATGAAGGTGTCACCAAGTCTGGCCTCTCCTGGGGCCTTTCTCCTTGGCTTTGAGGTGGTCACATCTGGCTGTGTCTTTACATGGCCTTTCCTCTGAGCGGCTGTATCCTTGATGTCCCCCCCTCCCTCCACCCCAGAGACAAGGTTTCTCTGTGTAGCTTTGGAACCTGTCCTGGAACTCACTCTATAGACCAGGCTGGTCTCGAACTCACAAAAATCCACCTGCCTCTGCCTCCTGAAGGCTGGGATTAAAGGCTTGCGCCATCATCTCTGGCCTGATGTCTCCTCTTGTTACAGGGCCCCACCCTAAGACCCCACAAACCTTAATTAGCACCTGAAAGGCCCTATCTCTACCATACCACACCAGGAGTGAGGACTTCAACATGCGGATTTAACAGGTACACAATCCAGCCTACAACACCCGTGCTGGGCAACAAAGCAGGTACACAATCCAGTCTACAACACCTGTGCTGGGTGACAAAGCAGGAACACAATCCAGTCTACAATACCCGGTCTATAACATCCATGCTGGGCAAGACAGCAGGAACACAATCCAGTCTACAACATCTGGTCTATAACACCCATGCTGGGCAAGACAGCAGGAACACAGTCCAGTCTACAACATCTGGTCTATAACATCCATGCTGGGCAAGACAGCAGGAACACAATCCAGTCTACAACATCTGGTCTATAACACCCATGCTGGGCAAGACAGCAGGGACACAGTCCAGTCTATAACATCAGTGCTACACAACATAACCTAAGCTAAACAGAAGCATTCAGAAATGAGGGGTTTAGAGGAAAAACAGTGCCCTGACGACTGACATCACCCACCCGAAGTCTCCCTACCTTCACCGGAGGCCACACTACTTAGCCTTGCTGGAGCATTTCCCAAGTGACACTTGAGATGGCCAGAGCTCTCCCTCCTGCACTGTGAACTCTCTCGGGGACAGGGATGCAATGGCCAGAGTGAACCCTTGGCATCCTGATATGCTCAGATTCTCAACTGACTAATAAATCAAGCCCCCAGGAAGCATGGCTGACCATCTGAGCACGCTAATACGAAAAAAGTCTCCTTTTTAAGCAGGCTACTGGAGATCAACAGAGCATTACTTGGTCCTCTTGTGGCTTTTTGCCAGGAGTTGTAGGTAATCCAGAGCAAGCATATGATAAATTCAAGATTTCCCAAACTTGTCTAGCCCAAAACACATCCGAGACACTGATTAAAACCTAGACACCCCATTTTCCCACCCACTATTCAGTCCATCCCTTCCTAAGGAGTAGACCAGCAGAGCCAAAGCTTTGAATTTCTATTTTAACAGGTGCCACAAGCGAGTGTCCTGGTCAGGGAAGCCTGGGGCTAGTTCCCTTTATTAAATGTTAAAAAAACTTAAAAAAAAAATTATGTGTATGGATGTTTTGCCTGCACATACGCCTGTACACCACATGTATACCTGATACCTGAGGAGGTCAGAATGGGGCGCTAGACTCCCTGAGATCGAAGTTACAGACAGTTGTGAGCTGGGGAGCATGTGGGTGCTGGGAACAGAATTCAGGTCCTCTGGAAGAGCAGCCAGTGCTCTTAACCACTGAGCCATCTCTCCAGCCCCACTTTAATCTTAAAGCTTCCCTCCCATCCTGTAAGACACACAATGGCCTGAGGATTGAGGGTGACCACAGACAGGACAGGGTCAGTCGAGAGGCTGAGCTTTGACTCCCTGTGAGG